TGAAGTCATGAACGTTAGTTGGTGCTCCAGTATAATCGGTACGCCTGAAACTCATCCAGTGAGAAACGTTCCGCGGTGCAAAAATAAGTGCGATTAAAATGCGTTAATTTTTTTAACGCGTTAATTTTTGTGTAATTAATTAATCTTAATTAACGCGTTAAAGTCCCGGCCCTAATATATATATATATATATAAAAAAAAAAAAAATAATATATATTTTTTAAACACCTTGAATTTCAGGGGGGGCGCGGGGCTCCGTTGGCGGGGCGCAGCGCCCCTCCAAGACAATGGTAGGGGAAACACTGGATAGTGTTTAATCAACGATAGGTTTCCCCCCCTCATAGGTGATTGGTTCACTGCATCGCAGGTATTATTGTGATTGGCTCTTGGGCCACATCAAAATTAGACGCGCTGTCATCCTCTCATACTGACACCACACACGTATAGGGAGAGCCGGGACGAAAGTAACACGGGACAAAAGTAACGGAGCGATTTTATCCGAGCCCAAACAACTTTGACCGGCCAAATTACGTCAGAATTATCAGCATTCAGTACTTAACAGACTTACTAACTATCAGGTTTAACTGTCAGGAGTAGCTAGTGTTGTCACGATACCAACATTTTGGTTTCGATACCAAGTCAAGAATTGCGATTCCGATTATTTTTCGATACTTTTCTTAAAAAAAGGGAAACAGTCTTAAATGTAATTATTGTGCTTTATTTCACACCAGAACCATAACCATAACACAAACTTTTAAACAATGAGAACAATAAATAAAATAAATGACAAGAATTAATACATGTCTGACAGACAGGACTCGTGGTGTCCGTAGGCTTGCCCTCACTGTCAGAAATATAGCTAAAATACTTCCAAATTTCGCTTCTGGCGTCTTTTTTGTCAACAAGCTGAGGCGCAGCGGCAGTTGCACTCCCAATTGTAGCCATGCTTCTCGCTTTCTCACATGCTCTGGCAGCTAGCGCGTGCACGAGAGAGGGGATGGATTTAGCATGTGCACGAGAGGGGAGGGACTGCAGGCACGGCTGCAGTGCAGGGAGTGGAAGCAGAGCGCTGAATACACACGGCTCTTATTAAAACGGCGCTTTCTCACCGGAGTACTTTTCCCCGTCATTCTTAAAGTACCGATACTAATGAAACGGAGGAATCGTAACGTTTTTAACGGCAGAGTATCGCGGTACCTTTCAAGTATCGGTACACCGTGCGGAGTCAGTGTCTCTCCCCCAAACTCACACACATACAATTCGATATGAACTGAAGAGCCGCATGAAACTAGGCAAAGAGCCGCATGCGGCTCGAGAGCCGCGGGTTGGCCACCCCTGCCATAGACAGAATGGAACCACGTACCAACAAAAGGGACACAAGGTCATCAATGTCTCTCTTTACCATTGGCCTAATTGCACAATAAATGAGTGGGAAAAATATGGAGCACTAATCCATCATGTGGAATGTTGAGTTCATCTAAATAATTACTTATGGGTTGAAATTAAATTAACATTAGAACTGAAGTCAGTCATAATTGGACTTTGCACGGATCAGAATCTAAGCAATACACCATTTCCCCAGCTCTGTAATGAAAAGGATAAGAAGATTAGGTACATCACAGGAGTGTTCCACACCCAAACATGCACACTTATCTTATTCTAGTAGAGATTAGAGGACAAGGTCTAATATTGTGAAGAAAATGATCAATTCAAAGTTATTTTGTTTATTATTATGTACCTAATTTAATTTAATAATTAATCTTGAATTACTAATAACTTTAAAGAAGGCAACAATTTACAATTTGGATGAAGCGATTACTCATCCAAAGTGTGTGTGTGTGTGCTTGCTTGTCTGCCCAAGGTTTAAAACATTTGGGACAGCACAACAGTGAGAATGTTATGAGAACCAATCTGTTGTTTACACTAAACTCGAAGGAAGCTAGACTGGAACATTTTAAATAAATCAAAACACTTGCACATTAATTAAATACATTTCACATTTAGCTCGAGCTGGGTTCAATACTTTTCTTTATGGTATTTAAAATTGGGCTCGAGTAGAACCCCTGGATTTGGCTTGCAACACAAAGTGATACTGATCTCTGTAGGACTTGGAAGTGTTATGATTCAAAGTGCCTGTGAAAGAGAGGCCCTTGGAAAACAACACCTATTTTGTAACTGTAATTACCTATTTTAAAGAAATTGCAACATTATACTTTTAAAGAATTGCTCAATTAATTTAACACATTTATTATGCACACAATAAAAACTTCAACAAATATATTGATCCTGGCTTAACCAGCAACCTTTACTCTGTTGTTCATAAGCTCGGTTTCAGAAAACTTGTCAGTAGTTTAACAACTATTTTAATTTGAGTATTGTCTATAGAGACCAATTGGTTGATACTAGAAATAATTTCAAGCAGTTTAATAAAGAATGGTTAAACTATTTTTAAAACTGTAATTGAACTTCAACTTATATTAATTACCTGATTCCAGTGGCCAGTTGGAATAGAATAATTAACACAGTTTCCATTTTGTTGCAACAGCGCAAAAGGTTTCAACAACAATTAGTATTATGTCTGAGTCTTGTTCTTCTTATCTGCTTTATTTCGGAATGTGTTCAATACATTACGTTTTTATTCATTATTACTATACAATACATAGATTAAGAATAAATGAAACAAATAATACAACATTGACCTAAAACCAGATTTTGCAACCCTGATCTCCTCAGGCAGGTCTCTGAGGGTCTCGGGGCGCAGGACGGGCATAGGGTTTATACAAGGTCACAAAGATATCTTAACATTCCAACAATACCATTTAAGAATGGATTCTTAAAGCAATATAATCTTCTTTTCTTCTTACACCTACAGCGCACACCCTGCACAGTGGGCTTCTTGTTTACATTTTCCCCTGCACTCAGAGGCAGGACATAAAAACACTTTTTATTTTTCTCAAGTCATTTACTTTTGGTGAGATAATTAAAGTTTAGTTCATTTTACCCTGTCTATGGACTGATTCATTATTGTTACAAAACATACACAAGACGGCGGGACAAACCAATATAGACCCCCATACAAACAATCAGACAAACAAAACATGAACTCTTAATAAACACCAGCGCGACAGCAAAGCTCATCAGCTCAATTTAGTCCGGATTTTAGAGATCTTAGAGGGGGTGGGGAATTCTCTCCAGTGCGGCGTCTTCTCACGCCTCACCCTTGTATACAAGTTATTGATCGGTGCCTGAAAGCCGTCCAAGAGCGATAACTAGCTTATCCTCTTGCGACAACCACTAGGCTATTTGTTTCTAGTGGCGCTGTGCCCCCCCGATCGGAGCCCACAGACTTTTTCCCTGCCCTTTCTCTCCAAACAACAGCTCAGTTGACTGTAGTCCGTACGACCAGCCTATATCTACTCGCCATCGAGTTCACCTCAAGGTGAAACACAGTTTGCCTATGCTTGCTTGCCACTACACACCTCTGATCAATTAGCCTATAATTGTATGTATGCACTCCTGACCGCCACCTGCTCCAGAGAGCCGTGGCGCATCGGGTGATGCACGCACCTCGCGCTGGCCCGTCTAACCATGAGAAAAGTGGTCCTAAACAACGAGTGCTTTTAGACCGTCCCGTTTGAAGGACGGCGGTGCCGTGAGTTAAAGCCTATACGCAATAAGCTGTGACTTTCTTCCTCTCAGCCTGCACTTGCTCCAGCCCCACACACACGCAGTGAGGTTTCTTTTACACACACACGCAAGGCTGCAGCTGGAGCCGTGTTTTTACAGAGAGGTGATAGCAGCAAATATCTTTGGCTGCTTATTTTCAACTGCTATGTTTAGCCACTAAGACCCTCAAAATCCGGCGATTTGTTCAATACAAATCTTTTACATTGCTTTCAATTCACACAGAAGCTCCACTTCACTGATGCCCTTTCCTTAAGGTATCTCTAAACATGAGCTGTGTATGCCTGTATGGCACTTCCGTCCCGAGCAGCATACACAGAGGAAATCAGCCAGGACTGAGTCCCCAGACACTGATTCCCTGGGTTTATCATCCCCAAATGTTCATTAACCAAAAGGAAACGCAGCCGATCAGTTTCACAGGTAATTTTAGGATACCGTCAATCACAGATTCTGATAAGGCAATGTCCAAAGTAGATTTGAAAATCGCACTTACCATAATCTGAAGATCTGTTGGCATCCTGCCGACAATGCCAATTTGTAGAGGAAACTTCTGTGTAGCTATGCAGTGGGAGTCACCGACTCAGGAAGGAGACACGGGAAGAGCAGTAGCTTTGATGTCAAACACATGATGGTTTATTTGGAGTTAACGGCCGGAGGATTCACATCACAAGTCCAAGAGTCAGAGGTTCTGACTTCACGGTAGAGTTGCCACGTCAATTCTGGAGAGCCTCTCTCTTGCCAGCCCATCTAACTGGTTTCGCAGAGAGTAAACAACATATTTTGAGGAGATAGCCTAAACAGTGTGGGAACACAGAGCTACTTGCCTCGGACACTTATGACCTCGAAGATTTTACCTTGGAGTCCACAAATACAGAGAAGGAAGTGTCCCAGTGTACCCACAACACAGACCATCTGTATCCCAGTATTGACCGGTCACAGAATGGGAACAATAACATTATTGGCTAAGCCGCCTGTGTCCTTAAAGAAGGTAAACAGACATCAAGGTTTGTCCTGTATGTTACAAATTGGCGTCTTATGATAATTATTTCCACAACAAACAACAAATTGCAGTTTTGCAGGACATAAGCGGAACTGGCAACCTCAGATCTCTGCACTGTGTGCATATCCGCACACTTTGCGCGCGACACTCAGTCTCTTTCACCGTCACACAACGAGAGCATACGTGTCCTGACCGAGCTGAGCCACGCCACGAGGAAGAAAGCTACAATATTCCACTTGAGAAGCATTCATACAGGTATGGTCATTATATTTACCAATGTATTTCCCTAACCAGCCCTTAAACAGTTTTAGAAAAACAGAATTTCACAAAATTGTATTTTACTTCGTATTTAGTGCGGAGTTAGCAGCAGCACGGTGTGACGCTAGCTACAATTAGCTAGTTGTAGCTAGCTAAGGTGTGGCGCTAGCTTAGCTAAGGTGTGGCGCTAGCTTAGCTAAGGTGTGGCGCCACACCTTGCTGCTGCTATTCGGCGTGATTTTCGAACATGGCCATCACATTCTAATTGGACTACACGTTCTTACCAAACCATATAATTAAAAAACATTTCAATGGTAATTTGGTCTTTCGTTGGAGTGCGTTGACGTCGAGGCATTAATGAGTCGTCCTGCTCTTCAAGATTAGCATTGGTGCTGCACATGATGATAGCCGCACACGTGTTAGCAATGCTTTTTTTTTTAAACAAGCAGCTAAACTTGATAAAGCCTGTCCTAAATGGGTTTCGTGGACGAATTTCAGCTCAACTGAATAGATAAAGTAAGGATGTGATATGCTTCCTCAGGTTTGTTCGTTTTTACGCAATTTATATTTGGTCGTATCAAGTTAGCTTAACAGCTGTTTTGCTAAAGCCACGAGGTCGCCAACGGTTCATACGACAGTAAGTGTTAACAAAACACATTTTAAATTGATGATTTAATAAGAAATTGAATTAAATGTTAATTCTTCGTTTTACTATATGCATTTTTACATTTGTGTTTTTTAATTATTTGTTCGGCCCTGTCCTTCAGATACATTCACAACCAAGTTAAACCAACATCGGTGATAGAAAGTAACTAAGTATTTACTCAAGTACTGTACACATTTCAGGTACTTTTACTTTAATTAAGTATTTATATACTGTACCACTTAATACTTTTATTCAACTATTGAAAGGGATAAATTGTACTTTTAACAACATTTATTTTAAACTTTTAGTTATTTTATTAATCCTGATTTTCACACAAATGTATGAACTCTTACATTAAAGTATCCTACATTATAATTAAGAACCCCTAATACAAGTATTTTTTTGTACGGAAAATAAACGAAAAATATATGCTGCATTTCCAATTCATTTTAAAGTTTCTTTTCTTTCTGCAATGTGAACTTTTGCTCCTTATACTTAAGTACATTTTCCTGGTCATACTTGTATACCTTTGCTTCAGTACCTTTTTTAAATGAAATACTTTTACATTTAACAGAGTATTTTTACAGTGCAATATTTTGACTTAAGAAATTGATCTAAATACTTTTCCTTCTCTGAATATTTGTAATGTTAACCTGTTGTGAGATCTGAATGTTGACCTTATGGTATGATTTTCTTTAAGGCGAACAAAATGGATGAGTGGAATGAGGTAAGCTAGTGTACTGTTGAAGTGCAAACAAAACGAGTCACTTATTATGTCAAGCTGAGTCGGGCCAGCACCTGATGGGAGTTTATTATCTTTACAGGGAACTACTAGTAATACTACTACAGTAACCAGCCAATCAAGTGAAGGTATGTCTACTGTAAATTCTGCAAATTATTTAGTGATCATTATTTGCCATTATGAGTGCATGTACAGCCACTCTATAACGTGTACAATGGACTGGCCTGTCCTTAAGAATTCAATTTGGCTGTTCTATATGAAAAATAAGAGTGCAGGCATTTGGAGGAATTTGATATGTATTTACGTTAAGATGATGTATTATTGGACATTAACACCTTTAGGCACACAACGTGACTCCTGGAACTCTGACAGGGGGAAATATGGAAGGGGTAAGTGTTGACAGGATGAACCATAACTATATCTTCCCTAGAGGATATAAATGATATAAATAAGTGTTTTTCTAATTCTTCACAGGTGGTGGAGGCAGAGGAGGATTCCAAAGCTCGTTCTCAGGTTTGCGTTCATGTCATATTATTTAAAGGGTACTGAAATGGTTAGAAGTTGAGTAACTGAATATCTGGCATACGTTGACCTATAAATTGGTTACTATCACATTTTTACTCAATAACTTGTGATGGGAGACATTTTACAGACAAAAGATGAATTCAATAAATTAAAGTGATCATAAGATTAAGCAGACTACCAAAAAAAGGTGTGCAAGACTGCATTAAGTCATCTTAACTGTTTACAGTTGGACCTTTTATTATAAACAAGAAAAAGACTCAGAGTGGAGGAAGTTTAATTCCATAGGCATTGTTTAAGCAGGCTAACTCATTTGGTGCTTTGACCTTTGTTTTTGTAGAGACTGGGAATGGTAAGCAAGTATTGTGTTGAGATAGCAGTGGCTCAGTCCTTGATGCCACTCATCCTCCAATTTGTTATTTGCAGGTGGTGGAAATTCAGAAGACGGGATTGGATTTAGAGGCAGAGGAGGAAGAGGTGAGATGTGAATTGAACCAAACAGTCAGTGCATGAGCTGTAGTTCACAAGGGGTCTTGAGGAGTTGTAGCATTTATTCTACAAGAAACATAGGATTGATTGTTTTAGCAGTTTGTCAGTTGACAGATTTCTATTACGATTGAATGCCTTTGATGCGTGTCTAAAATATTTTGTGTCCCGATGGTATGTTTATCCTTTCAGGCGGTGGAAGAGGGTTTGACAGGGCGGATCGCAGTGAATCAAATGGTAATTATTTATATAGGTTTAGTTGTAATTCTGCTTAATCTTGTTTCTCCGAATGAATCTAACCAAAATAAATGTGTTAATTCTCTTATTGTACAGGAGAGGAAGGTGGAGGTACGTTTTTTCTTCTTTTTTAGCCCCGTCAAGTTATACATTATCCCAGAAGAGTAATTGTTTTATCTTCTTAATGTGAATCTGATTTGAATATTATACGCTCTGAACAGGGTTCGGGGGCGGAAGCCGAGGAAGAGGCGGCAGAGGAGGTTTCCGACAAGGTACTTATGGATTTAGTCATAATGTGGAAAAAGGATATTTAGCTTGTAGTTAGTTTTCTAACTATAAGTTATTATGTAATATTAATTTGAAGTGTGATTTACGGTTAATGGTTGTGTTAAAGGTGGAGACGATGGACCCAGAGGAGGAGGCTCAGGAGGAGGTAATAAAGCAAACGGTTCACATCCTAAAGCTCTGTCTTTCTGGAGAAATGTCCAGCATGTCTCGTTTGTTTTCAGGCTACCAAGGGAGAGATGAGGATTCCTTTGCTCGAGGTAGTAATAAGTGTTTTGATGATTTTAACCAATTTAGTTGGGAATTGAAAATGTCCGTGATGTGACTGACATCTTAATCTAACACAGGCGATTCTAAAGATCCAGAAAAGAAAGATGGCGGCGAAGAAGAAAGTAAGTAAATGACCTGATATTAAAGTGTTCTGCATTATGATAAAGGTTGTTTGTTTTCTGAACCACAAATAATTGTATTTTGCATTACAGGACCAAGGATCACGTATGTTCCTGAAGCACTCCCCGAAGATGAAGCATCCATTTTCGCCCACTATGAGAAAGGCATCAACTTTGCGAAGTATGATGACATCACAGTGGATGTCAGTGGAAGTAACCCCCCGCCGGCTATCATGGTGACTAAGTGCTAAATAATGAATTAGTTGAAAAACAAACGCTGCTCTATTTGTAGTAACTGGTTTGCATTGAGCAATTAAAGACACTTTGGTAAGTGGTGATGAATAGACATTTAACATATCAACTTGATTTTGTACTTGGTATTAATCTACATTTGATGGATAACGATGTTAGTAACATGTTTTATAATTGTGCATGTCTACACATGCCGCAAAGATTACAATTTGTAAAATGCAAATGTCTTCCCTCGTGTTTGTTGGTTTTAAGGGATCATTGTTATTTGTTGACCTAACAAGGACTTCAGTCCACAGTGAGACGTCACTGAGCTGACGGCTGGGCACACGGAAATAAAAAGCACTTGGTTTACAAATTTGAATAATCCACAACAGCATTCCACTGGCTTCCTATTTCTACTTTGAAACAAAATGACTTTACAAATGATACGTTCAGGATGAGCTGCCGGCTCCCTGGCCTTTCTTAATCTGAAGGGTGGAACTCCAGCAACCTTTTAGATGGAGTTTATTGTTGGCAACGAATATGAACTGTTGGTGTGTGTTCTGTTTTTCATCTTTTACTGATTGAAACCTTTTTCCTTCAGACTTTTGAGGAGGCAGCATTGTGTGAGTCACTTAGAAAAAATATCAGCAAAACTGGTTATGTGAAGCCCACCCCCGTTCAGAAGTATGGCATCCCCATCATCTCTGCTGGCAGAGATCTCATGGCCTGTGCCCAGACTGGATCTGGTAAAACGGTGAGATAAGAGAATGACTTCCTGACTGGAGTTAGCTTGTCGATACACTTTTAACGTATGTTTGTTTCTCTAGGCTGCTTTCCTCCTGCCTATCCTGCAGCAGCTGATGGCAGATGGCGTGGCAGCGAGTTCCTTTAGTGAGCTGCAGGAGCCCGAGGTCATCATTGTGGCCCCCACCAGGGAGCTCATCAATCAGATTTACCTGGAGGCCAGGAAGTTTGCCTTTGGGTACGTTTCCACTAACTTTGACTAATATTCATTATAACCTTAAACTCCTTGTAACACCCAGCACAATTTCAAATGCAACCCACACATTAAAGTTTGTTTTCTCGTGTGCTCTGACTGTTGTAGGACATGTGTGCGTCCAGTTGTGGTTTATGGTGGAGTCGCCACTGGACACCAAATAAGAGACGTTCTGAAGGGGTGCAATGTGCTGTGTGGAACACCTGGGAGACTGTTGGATGTCATTGGAAGAGGAAAGGTAAACTGACGGATGTGTTTCTCTGAGGTTGACGTCAGAGTTGCGCAGTCTAGTATAGTATATATATAATCGTTGTCTATACGTTTAAACTGTATCTAAATGTTAATGGTGCTCCACAGATTGGCTGCAGTAAGCTGCGGTACCTGGTGATGGATGAGGCTGACCGGATGTTGGATATGGGCTTTGAGCCTGACATGCGTCGCTTAGTGGCCTCGCCTGGCATGCCTACCAAAGAGAACCGGCAGACTCTAATGTTCAGCGCCACCTTCCCTGAGGACATCCAGAGGTCTGTCCCTGATCAAACACCTCTTCATTGTACAAGTGAGCTTTGCTTGTATAAAATGGAAATGTTTGTGTTTTTTTTTAGGTTGGCGGCCGACTTCCTGAAGACAGACTATCTGTTCCTGGCTGTGGGTGTGGTGGGCGGAGCCTGCAGTGATGTGGAGCAGAAGCTTGTCCAGGTCACCAAGTTCTCCAAGAGGGAAAAGCTGCTTGATGTTCTCAAAACCACTGGTAAAGCCTCTGAACTATTTAACAGCCTCTTGCTTTCTCACATTCTGAAAATCTCTATTAGAAAGGCCAATGATTATTAGAGTTGTTCCAATCGGTGTGGACTTTGTGTTGCTGAAAAGGTTGTTTGCAGTATTGCTTCCAACAGGACTGAATAATGTCTTCACTCTCAAACTGAACCATGAATAGGCTTTTCTTAGTCTGGATGTTGATGGTTTGTTTCAGGAACTGAACGCACCATGGTTTTTGTGGCGACCAAGAGACAAGCTGATTTCATCGCCACTTACCTGTGCCAAGAGAATGTTCTGACCACCAGCATTCATGGGTAAGTGATGGTTACAGATGTCTGTATCCACACCTGGTTTGAATGTGGATATGATTGTATTTGTTTCCCCTCAGTGACCGTGAGCAGCGGGAGCGAGAGCAGGCTCTGGCAGACTTTCGCTCCGGCAGACGGCCAGTCCTGGTGGCCACCTCTGTAGCTGCCCGGGGTCTGGATATTCCAGATGTGCAGCATGTGGTCAACTTTGACCTCCCTGACAACATTGACGAGTATGTCCACCGTATCGGTAGAACCGGTCGCTGTGGAAACACTGGGAGGGCCTTGTCTTTCTATGACCCCGAAGCTGATGGCCAACTTGCCCGCTTCCTCGTTACCATCCTGTCCAAGGTAAAACAACTTGAGAATTAACTGAGGGTGTTTTTGCAGAATAACTTATGTATAGAATTACTAAAGGCAGGCATAAGAATGTATAATTCCCCCTAACACACTAATAACTAAGAGCACAGGAGGGAGAATAACAAAATTGAAACCCGAATAGTAATCCAACTAACGGATATTTGGGTTGTCTTTGATTGACAGGCCCAGCAGGAAGTGCCCTCCTGGCTGGAAGAGTCTGCGTTCAGCGGCTCCGGATCTGAAGGCTTCAAGGGCTTCAACTCCACAGACTCCAGGAAGGTGACTGCTTTACTTTTCTCTCTTGGAACGTTTGCTATCAGTTTAGCCTTCTGTCCCAACCGTGTCCTCATGTGTCCTCAGGGAGGATCATTCGCTGACAGCGGAGCGAGGAGCCAAGCCGCTGCTGCGCCAGCTGCAGAAGATGAAGAATGGGAATAGAGACATTTGAGCCAAGCACTGGACCTTGACCCGAGTTATTTTTCTTTTCATGTGTTCAGCATGTTGTAGTATTTTAGTTTGAAGTTTCTCAGATAAGACGATGTTAAGTCACGAGAGATGTTAATGGGAAACCAGGTCCTGTTTGATGTGACAACCTAATGGGTCTTCATGACAGCATAATGTGGATACTTGGTTTTATTTTAATCGAGTTAAGGAACAAAAGGTGTCTGGTTTAATATTCCAATGTTATTACTTATTTTGTTTATCACTACGATCAAGAACTAATAAATAATATTTGTTCAAAGCCTACACTTGTTGGAGTACTATTTGTTCAAAGCCTACACTTGTTGGAGTACTTGATATTCATAACATCATTTCATACTTTTAAATAGTCTTATCTGAAAGACCAAAGTCCATTTTATAGATGATATTGTCAAAGCTGCCTAATGTCAATTGATCAATAGCTCATGTTTATTAAGGATCCCATTAGCTTTTGCTCTCGACAAAAGCTGCTCTTCCTGGGGTCCGACACTTAAAACAATACAACAACATTTAGGACATAAGTCCTGACATCATTAAAAACATCACCAATATCATGCGATCAAATTAAATGATGGTTCACAGCTTGCAAAGGATTATAGACATGGCTCTGCAGAGATCTCACAGCTGCACAAAGAAAGTACAAACATGGCCAAGTATAATAAAGAAGTATAAACATGACCAGTGCAAGTGAATGAACTAATGAATAGTGATGCATAATAGATCATGAGTTTTGCAAGGCCATTTCAGTTCATATGAACATGAAGCATCTCAGTGACAGTGATTATAAAAACAACAGCTTTTCAAACAGAACACACCCCTTCAGAAACCCAGAGTGTTGGGTACTGTGAGATGTACTCTGAGACGCTGCAGTGGAACATCACATTGTGTGGCAAACAGTAAGATAACGTATACATTTTGTTCTGTGTACAACTTCAGGGAAAAGGCCAAAAATAGATTGTATATTGCATTTTAAGATTTAGATGATTGCAATAACCACGATTTTATTCCCAATTTATACTGATTGTATTGTTGTAGCTCCTGCTGACAGGTTTGCTAGGCTATGGTACAGTGTCAAGTCCTACATGTATATCAATTATGTTTAATGCCACTTTTAAATGACTGAATTGGTAGTGTATTGAGTTTTTAAAGTAGCCCTAGTACAGTTTTTAAGTGCTTTGGTAAAAGTCCTGCATTCAAAGTACAAAGGTATCGGCATCAAATTATATTTAAAGTACCAAGTAAGTCAAAGTACTCATGCGTATTATCCCATTTTAGAATCATATTGAGTTTCTGGGTTACTTTTATGATTGATGGGTGTTTTTTTATTATATGGTAAAGGTGGAGCTAATTTGGATTAGATTTGTTTATGTACTACTGCTGGATATCTTAACCTATACATATTTCAACGTTTATTCAATAATTGATTTATGTTTTATTAGTTGTCTAAATCTAAAGAGTAACTAATAACTAAAAGCTGTCAATTTAATGTAGTGGAGTAAAAAGTACAATATTAGCAAAATGTTGTAGAGTAGCAGTATGAAGTAGCATAAACTGATAGAGGCTAAGCCTATAGAAGTGATTAATGAATGAACATTCACCGGACCTGGGGGGACCGCCTTCTCCGTCGTTGCCCCCTCCCTCTGGAACTCACTCCCACAACCCATCAGAGACGGCTTTTAATGTGTGATTGTTTTTGTATTATTTGACTTTAACTATATATATTTAATTGTTGTTCTTTTCTTTTCACTATATCTGTAAAGCGTCTTTGATCACCTGTAAAAGCGCTAACAAAATAAATGTATTATTATTATTATTAAGGCTCTGCCCTGCGTCATCTCCATAGCAACGCCCACTGCTCAGATTCTGATTGGTCCGCTGCTGCGTGTTGTCTGTTTAAAACTTGGGCTTCACCCGGAAGTTGGAGCATAACATTGTGCGTGCATGTAAAAACAAACAATACAGAATAGTTGAAATAATAAGTGTATCTTCTGTGTTTGGCAGCAGAGTGCAGGAGCAAGTTCACCATGAGAGGAACAGCTAAAGGAAAGGTAAGACCGAATAAATCTAAACTGAATACACAAGCTAGCCACCTGTTAGCTTAGCTTCATCAACATATAACTACTCTGTGGACCACAACATAACATGGCTACACAAACTAAACAAAAAAAAAAGCTCTTTTTGAAAGCAGAAGTGCTGTCAGCGGCTGGTATACGCAGGTAGCTCTGACATGTGACAGATCTGGAATCAGTCCTCCAGTTTAAACAGGCGTGTGATTGACAGGTGGTGACGTCAGGGAGGCTGACCGGAGGAGGCAGAGTGCAGCTCTCCAGGAGACGGTGAGAACACAAGCTTTCATTCACCTTTTTTATTGTCACTGCCCATATTTCTTATATACACGTATGTTCCTTTTAGCACTCCCTCAAACCCAGGAGCAGCAGTCCGCGCTGAGCCAGCATATTCCCTGTACTCCACAGACTCTGAGGACCAGGTGAGGAGGGTGGCTTGATGGGTACTACATACATGAGAGGATACTTTGGGATGAACATGGGGATACTCTATCAGTGCTTCTCAAAGTGTGGTCCGCGGACCACTGGTGGTCAAATACAGAATAATGGAATAAATTAATTTATTTCAAATGTGAATTTTTTTTCTTTTTCTGCCTGGTACCAAAGACCATGGTATGCGATTTTGTTTTGTTAAGCAGTAGTTTATTGTGTGATAGCCAGTCCTGTAAGATATTAAAATCTGATTGAAGAGAGATCTGATTTTGTGAAAAATCTGATTTGGATGTATATATGACAGTGTCATCAGCATAAAGGTGAGTACAACAATTAATGAGACAAGAAGATAAATCATTTATGTAAATAGAGAACAAAAGTGGGCCCAGAGTTGATCCTTGCGGTACACCCTTTTGTTGGATCAACAGGTCAGACTGTTTTCCATTAACAACCACACATTGCTTTCTACTGTGAAGGTACGAGTTAAACCATAACACTGTATTATTAGAAAGGCCAATGCCGTGAAGTTTATCCAAGAGCAGATATCGATCAATGAAATCAAAGGCTTTTGTCAAGTCAATAAAAATGGCACCTGTGAGTTCACCATCATCTGCAGCAGTCATTCGTAAATGTAAGTAGGGCAGTTGTTGTGGAGTGATTAGGCCTGAAACCAGATTGAACTGGAGATAAAATATTATAAGTATTGAGATAATGTGACAGTTGATTATAAATTATTTTCTTCAAAACTTTGGAAATAGAACAGATTATAGAGATTGGTCTATAATTATTTGTATCAAGTAAATCACCACCTTTATGCAGTGGAATGATGCGTGCACATTTCCAAATAGTCGGCAACTCACAGGTGGACAAAGACAGGTTGAACAAATCAGCAAGTCGGTACATGAGAATATGGGATGTTAATTTGATTAACCTGTTTTCTATACCATCGAGTCCTGCACTGCCATCCACTTTTAATTCAGTGATAGCATTATGAACTTCGTGTGGTAGAATCTTCTTAAAAGAAAAATAACTGTTGCAGTATGAGTTACTATTAGAAATACCAGTCGTCAAATAGGAGTCAGATAGTAGTGTGGAACATACATTAGTGAAATGCTGATTAAATATTTGGATAATGGGTCATGAATTATTGTATCAGCAGTTCTTATTTTATTAATAGAATGTTTACCTGATTTATTTAAAATAGATTTAATTTTAGTCCAAAATTGCTTGGGATTCTTAAAGTCCAATATGAGAGATTCTTTATAATAGTTCGATTTAGCATTTCGGGTTTTGGTTTTACTCAGATTTCGAAGATGCCTGTATACTTCCCAATCGGCTATAGTTCTTGAATGACGATATATCGACCATGCTTTATCCCTTTCCCTAAAGAGACTGATGAGTTCAGAATTGATCCAAGGGAGATGTTGACCTTTGACCTTAACCGTTCTCACATCAGTGAGCTCTTTATGCAGAAAATCCCAAGCATTTTGTACAAAAGGTATTAGTTGAAATCTGTCCCAATTAAGGGCAACAACATCATTACTAAATAAAACAACATTCCATTTTTTATATTGTCTGATTTTGACTAGTTTTGAAGGTAGTTTAATTAAATTGATTTTCCATACGCAATAAACAATTGAATGATCGCTGAAGCAATCCGACATGACACCAGCTTTTAATTGAACAGATTCTGTCAGGTTGTGACACCAGTATCCAGTCAAGCAGAGATTGGGTTCTAAGAGTGATACGAGTTGGCTCATTAATTAGCTGTTTAACATTTAGACTACTGAAAAGTTTTTTCTCTCTATCAGATCAATCAGATACATTTTTGTTGAAATCACCAAGCAAGATTATTTCATTTCCGCAGGAAATGGAGTTGATAGTGTAAATGATGTGGTTAAAAGACTCTGCAGGTGAAGAAGGTGGCCTATAGATGCCACCAATAGTTAAGCATTTATTTTCAAAACGCATTCAAAATGTAGAGGCTCTATAGAAGTAGCAATTAGCTCAGTCACAAGGTCAGAGGAGACATAAATAGCCACACCTCCACCCCTGCTGCATCTATCAGATCTGTAAAGTAAATAATTTGTGATTTGTAGTTCACTATCGGAAATGTTACTATTAAGCCAAGTTTCAGAGAGTGTGATGATTTTAGGTTTATGTAGACAACCCATATCCGAAGTAAATCAATTTTGGGCAATAGACTCCTGATATTCAAATTAATGATTTGTATACCCCTTAATTCATCCAGTCTGGAAATAATAGCAAATAATGTTCCTGTCACTTGTTACGCATAAATGTGATTCATGATTGTAAAGATTGCTAGATTCAACCATTAATGTAAAACAGATATACAAAACATTCAAACACAAAAAGAAAAAGACAGAAAAACACAAAACAACCTTTAAGAAGGACCAGCAGCCCATGGAGACCAAATCCCAGAGCATTACCATGAATAAACTTAAACATAATAAATAATTATACAGAGCTCAGTCTGCATTACGAAGAGGATAAAGAAGTCGTAGCTCAAAGAAATTCATCCGAACGAACACAAACATTATGTAAGGGATAATGTGCAGCGACGCGGTCATTATGGGGAAAAGAACAGGCTGATCAGGAGCCCGACGCGAAGCGGAGGGATTTATATCGCCATGAAGACAGCAGCCCCCCCATGAAGGTGTTCTTTTCTTTTCCCTTACATAACAGCCACTCGGGGCAGTATTGCAATAGTAGTGGGCTCTAACGTGCCAAAGAAGAAGAAGTAGTGACGTTACTGTAAAATGTAAACAAACCACACAACTGAAAGTAATGTGATTGGATGAGGTCAACGCCATAACGGGCATAAAGCTAGCAGACTAGCAGCAAGTGTACAGATGCTGACGTGGTCTCCCCATGGTGGTGGTTAAAGTGTGTTTAGTGACGGCTGTGTTCTGTCCCTCAGGTCACCACTCTGCACCGGGGGCTGGACCGCTGTGCTGCCTTGCTCGTGGGCATGCTTCAGGCTGAGAAGGCAGGTCAGAAGGGTTTTCATACAATGCTTTGTTACAAGAAATGCTCAAACTATCACTTTATTATTTGATCAACATGTATTTTTAAAGCAAGAGACCAACTGTCCTCTGGTTAGCTGCTTCTAACCTGTCTGTCATAATGAGGTACAGTGTGTGTGTGTGTGTGTGTGTGTGTGTGTGTGTGTGTGTGTGTGTGTGTGTGTGTGTGTGTGTGTGTGTGTGTGTGTGTGTGTGTGTTGTGTGTGTGTGTGTGTGTGTGTGTTGTGTGTGTGTGTGTGTGTGTGTGTGTGTGTGTGTGTGTGTGTGTGTGTGTGTGTGTGTGTGTGTGTGTGTGTGTGTGTGTGTGTGTGTGTGTTCCTGTATTTGTGTGTGGTCTGTGTGTGTAGAACCCTTGCCAGGCCTTCCTAAAGGAGTAAAGCTGGGAGCAGCTAAATCAAGACCCTCCACCTCACTAAGGAAGAAGACCATTGGGAACACAGGTGTGTGTGTGTGACTCAGCAGCACAGCGCCCTCTGCTGGTGAGCTGAACACAGAACACAATATAAATAAACTAAAACATAAACTATAATATAAAATGATAGGTTCAGATATCCAGCAGCAGTGCATAAAGTCATTAAAACTAGCTCCAGCTGTGATAAGCACATTAATGCATCAATAATAATTATTAAATAAATGCATATATATGATTGCAAAATGGGACATTACACACAATTAGTACTTTTACGTTTGGTACTTTAAGTATATTTTGATACGAATACTTTTGGACTAAAGTAGGATTCTGCATGACTTTTACTTGCAACACATATTTCTATTTTTTACTTAAATGAAATGTCCGTGTACTTCTTCTACCTCTGTACTTAATACACTTGTAAAACTCTTTCTTAGAAGTGCTGAAGCATTACATGCATACATTATTGTGTAAAGCTACAGTAATATAACTAATAAAGACAGCCGCAGGAGCCTAGATATGAAATATCCTCATGTGTGAGCTTCATAGTTGATCATTATGCAACATCTTCAAAGGAGTCTCAATGAAGGGATGAGAGATGTATATGAAGTATTGCTTGCTCTTGAACGGAGCAGGGACTGTCCCACTTTGACACACACTCCATTAGCGATAGCAGTGAGTCTATGAATTTCAATGATTGATTGACATTCCTAATTCTGCTCCATATTCCCTTTATCGCTACTTCCAGAACAGAGAGGACCAGCTGCTGCTGCCATCTTACCACAGAAGCTCCGCCCCCCTCAGAAACAAGCCCCCACCCTGCAACTACGCCCTCCCACCCCTCCAGCCCAGCCCCAGACTTCCATCCCCCCACCTCAGCCTACCACGCCTCAGCCCTCCGTCCCTCCACCTCCGCCCCAGACCTCCATCCCCCCACCTCAGCCCCCCACCCCGCCCCAGAGCTCCATCCCCCCACCTCAGCCCCCCACCCCGCCCCAGACCTCCGTCCCCCCACCTCAGTCTGACCGTCAGGCTGCTTCTGAAGCTCCGCCCACATCCTGTCTGTCAGATTGTGATGTAGAAGAGGAGGAGTGTGTACCTGTGAGAGACACGGACACACACACGGCTGTCAGACAAACACACACCTGCAGCGTCGTGATGCCAAACACGCAGATGGAGACGGGACACGTTGCTATGGTTACTGAGGACACGCGCGTCGGGGAGAGAAAGATGGTGCAGAATCTGCTGGAGGAGCTGAAGGCTCTGATCACAGGACAAGGTGTGTGTCTGTCTGACAGTTTGACAGTGTCTGGTCATGACACATGTAATTCATTATTGTGTGTGTGTGAGTGTAGGTAGTGCAGCAGAGAGGCTGCTCAGTCATCTGGAGCAGAGCCTGTCCTCCCAGCTGATGGATGTTGGGGGTCCCGTGCAGACTGCAGTGGACCTCTCATCAGTACAGAACCAGAACTGTCAGCTCCGCAGGTACCCACTGTCTTTTATTACACAATACCTAACATAAACATGACTTTATGGACAATCACACTTATAATAAACATGAAGAATAACTCATAAAACAACTTCACTAAGACATTGTGTGTTCCAGGCGTGTCAGGATTCTGAACCTGCAGCTGAAGGAGAGGGAGAAGGCAGCGTTACACAGCATGGAGCCCCTCAATAACTCTGCAGGTAAAGTGTGTGTGTGTGTATTTGTGTGTGTTGAGTTGCCCTCTGGTTGACCCCTGCTCCTCTCCACAGTGTGTTCTCTGCAGGAGCAGCTGGACGGCGCTCAGTCCCGGCTGCAGGAGCTGCAGGAGGAGCTGACGGGAGTACGGAAAGACCTGAGGGACACCCAGAGCCAGCTGAGGGACAAAGAGGACGAGAACACACTCCTTACAGCAGGTGGAGACGTGTGCTCTGAGCTGAGGACTGGAGAGAAGACCTAAATCACTCTGAAGTTCTGTGTCCTGTTGTGAATGTCTTGTTTAAGGCCTGTGAGACATCAACATTAGTAAAACACCTCTTTCCACTGGTAGAAAACTTGTTATCTCTCCTGCTTGCTGCAGACAAATGAAGACACACACATGTAATAATGGGGATCTACAAGCAATGACAGTTATAATTCACTTGAGATTTAATATAAAAAGACCATGTCATTTAATCCAATACTTTTTTTTTTATGTTTGTGTGTGTTTAGACTTGGAGGCCACTAGAAGCAGGTTGCGGGACAGTGAGCGAGAGAAGACTGTGTACTCTTCACTCGCCCAGCAACGACTGGAAGAGAGAGAAAACTGTAATAGGTGTGTGTGTGTGTGAAAAGAGTGAGTGAAAAGAGTGAGTGAGGGTATAATTTCCTCTGTCTTTTTCAGGGTTCTTCAGAGTCTGGAGTCGACCAAAGCCTGTTTCCTCCCACAGCAGCCCCCCCCTGAACGCATCACACACTTCCTGCTGTCCCTGGGTCAGCCTGTGTCTGCAGAGATAGGGGACAACCCGCTGAGAGACACTTCATCCCATCCTGACGTCACCCTGACCGACCAATCACTTTCTCCACATGAGGTCCAGGCGGGGGGGTGGGGGCTCCTGTCCCACGCAGACGGCTCCGTGTGTTCTGATCTGAGCAGCAGGTCCGGCTCCACCTTGGACAGCAGGGCGGAGGCTGCGTTCAGGGACGGGCTGGCAGCGCTGGACGCCAGCATCGCCAGCCTGCAGAGGACCTTTCAGCTGGACCTGGGGGGGGGCGAGGTGATGCACACTCGGCTCTAAATAACTTTTAACTCTATATTATTGTGCATTTTTTAATATTTATAATAAATGATGTTTCAGATTTGAAGTAAAGCGTGTTTCATTAGTTTCCTGGATTTGATTTCCTTCCTTGTTATGGAGACAGGACAGGCAGCTGTTTGTTCCTGGAGTTCTTAAAGCACCTCTTGTCTTCAAGTTTCTTAAAGGGACAGTTCACCCTAAAATCAGTAGTGCGGTTTATCGATAGTTAGTGAGTTGCCGAGTGTTGGTCGTAGAAATGTCGGCTTGTGGTGTTCAAAGCGGCAGAAAAACACATGTCGAAAAAACAGCAAAGTCTCTTCCCAGAAATAATGACCTAGTTACTGAAGATGACACATTGTATTCCTATCAAACTGCACCTGCAGGAGATGTTCATGGGAAGATGCCAGTTTCCTTAAGCGCAGTGATACGGTTGGTGAGTAGAACAAAAGTAGTTCCACATGAAACTGCTCTGTGGAGTATTTTCAGAGACAGTGCTGTTGGAGTTTTTTTAAATATCGTTTTTTATGCGGCTTTGAGCACCAAGATTTTTCAGGGTGAACTCTGCCTTTTAATGTTTTAATGTTGTCAAACACAAACACACCTTGAACCTTTTTTATGAAACTGCAAAACGTGTTTTAATAGCAAAAGAGGCCAAACCAGTACAAGTATAAAACAGTTTACAAAAAGATGTTACAATAATCCCAAATACTACAAGCGCTATAAAATGACATTCATCTGCTAAATACAAATAACAAATGGTTTTTAAATATTCCCTTTGGTAGAGTGCAGGTGATGCTGCTGGAGGACCCCCCCCCCCCCACGCATTAACACATAGTCCCTTAAAGCCCTTGGTAGTGCAGGAGCAGACACATTTGAGACAGAATAAAACAGCTTTTTCAGGTCAGTTCATTCAGAAAAACTGCAGAGCATTACAGCAGCTCTCAGCATTATAGGAGCTGGAAACAAAGGCATCATGGTCTATTCAAATAAACTGGGGCAGTGGATGTTTCTGTTAGCACCATAACACCTTCATTTTACAGAAACGGCGTGTGCCTAGAAAACACTGCAGCTTGGAGCAGGGACACACTGCCAGAATGTTCCTCAGGTATTAGCCGTGCACAGGGACACTGATAGTGCTGATAATGCTTTTAAAAGTGGATACAAGTACTAAAATTGGCACATAAACTCCTTTTGACATTTGGAAAAAAAACATGTTAGCCGCTCAAAAACCCAAGATGGCCGCCAACAAGGGCTTGGAAATGTAATTATTTGCTCAAAATCACTTTCACTAGCCCTATTTAAATGATCTCGTGTCAACTCATACATTTTCCACCACGTAGAAACCAAATTCAGACGACAGGATTCACTCAGAAGCTTGTGTTTATATCTGAGCTATCAAATCTAAATAATCTGCCAATGGAAAACTGGGTAGCCTAACATACATCTGAATTCTTTCTAATAAGCTCTACATTTTAACATTTTGTGTTTTAAAATGACACAAAAAAGCTCTGAAGAAGTTTCTAAAGAGTGCATTTGACTGTAATTCAATACCAAAATCACCTAAATTGATCCAGCGGTAAAATACTGTTTCCTCGGTTGGAAATGACAGCCATCTTGGAATGGCCCCAGAGGGATAGACATGACATTTTGGTGCTTGTATCCACTTCTGAAAGATTGTTATATCTATCTGCAGCACTAAGAGAGGAGTAAACCCTAAAGGATTAACACCTGGATGTTTGAGTGTGATGTCAACTGGCTATCTGTCCTATGATGACTATATCAAAACTACAATATGTAAATGTCCCAGCTGTTGAAGACCATGTGATGCAGTTGACAGGAAGTGGACATGTAGTAACAGGAACTGCAGGTGAACGGGTGCTTGGTGTCTGTAGTGACTGGCCGTGTGATCACATGTGTGCCAGTTAAGCTTATTGAAGAGCAGCCCCCCCCCCTCTATGAGTGTGGGTGGAGGTGTCCCACCTGCCTGCCTGTATCTGAGCTCCTGGGAGCTGTCACTCAGCTCCTCCGCCGTGTCTCCAAAGCCGTGGTAGTGTCCGTAGTGCAGGAAGTCCCTGGAGTCGGCCCCCCTCAGCCCCCCCCAGGCCGGCCGGTGAGACACGCAGCTGCTGGGGGAGCCACTCAGGTGCAGCGAGCCACACATGTCTGCGGAGGAGTGCTGAGTGGGCTCAGCGGGGGGCAGAGGGAGGGGACGGCTGCTGGGGGCTGGGGGGTGTTCATCTGCCGCTGAAACACAAAATCTGGTCATTAGATGTTATATATAATGCATGTTTCGGACATTTAATACACCAAACCCTTCATGGAATAATCTATAAAACTATTGGCAGACGAATGGATAATGAAAGTTATAGGAAGTAGCTGTTTATTATGATATCAACTGTGCAGCATCCTCTACAATCAGAAAACAGCTGTAGTCTCACCTGAGAGGAGCTCCGGGACGGACTCCATGGTAACGCTCTCCAGATCCTCACCTCCAACCGCCATCTGCACCAGCACTGCAACAGGAGACACACAGGAAGTGACATCACACAGCTGTTCACAGTGAGTATCCTGAATCACACTGGGATGATAGGATGTGAGTGTGCTTTTGAGGCTGGCTGGTGTGTTTTGTATTACAAACTCCTGGAAAGGCCTTCCAGGATGTGTATTTTTGTAATTTTTGTAATTGTACTATTTAATCTTTAATATTTTTGTATGCATGCTTCTTAGTTAACATTAAGCTGTATTTGGCTCTTTTCTGCTAAAACAAATGTAAATTGCCCCTCTGTAGGACGGATAAAGGTATTCTGATTTTCTGATTCAGAACCTTCCAGATGCGGAATGTATTTTCTCTGAGTGATGGGGTCCTAGCCGTCCTACACAAACCCCCCACCTGAGGTTCATATTCCTCATGCCTTGAAATGTCACATACCCTGTGTACCAATGTGTGAGAATATGAGAATCATACTGTGACGACAGTTGTTGATTTTTTATTTGATACAAAGCAGCCTGTGTAAAATATGCCAAGGCCAAACAGGATATGGAACTTGAAGATTATGGTCTGTGGCCCCCAGCCTTGTTATTCAGTTCCCTGTCCTCTAACGCTCTGGAACGTGTGCAGACATTGGCGTCCTCTTGCTAATATGTTTTTTGGTGCATTAAAACATGAATCATGTCTTACTGTCCCCCCGGGCTTTCTTCAGGTCCCTGCTGTCCCCGGCTGTTAGCAGCCTCTTCCTGCTGAGCAGGCCCGGACCACAGGGGGGGCTTTCTCCATTCGGCCCCCCCCCTCACGTGCAGCTGCAGCAGCTTCTTGGTCTTGGAGAGGAAGCAGAATGAGTCGAGGAAGCCGTGAGCGTGGGCCAGGTCTGCTGCTGTCTGCCCACTGGCATTCCTTAACCTGAACAGGAAGAGGAAGTGAGACAAACTGCTTCCTGTCGGCCATCTTTAACACTCAGCACAGATCACATGAAGACTGGAGGTCAGAGGTTCTTATAGAGCAGGGAGACAGCTGACAGCATTTCAACATCTCCCCCTGCAACACACTGATTAGGAATACATGACTAAAATAATAAATCACAGAATTAATAGAATATTATAATATATATATTATATATAATGATTAAATGTTACTGGTTGGCTGCTATATCTCGCTTCTTATAGAATGTGGCTTACTTCTACATTAAACAGTTTACAAGACAAGATTACAATTTATTTTACAGTATCTTAGGAAGGCCAGTATTTTTATAATAGGTCAATAAAAAATGTTAGATGGGGGGGGGGGGGATATATACTAGATTCAGAATGTCGACAATGTTTTTTTTTCTTCACTTTCTCAAAAAAAACAATATACATATACAATATGAATTATGAAACACTAATAATATTTTAACAATATTAATATAACTTTTTGTTCTATACAAGCATTTTTCTTATGTGAAAGATTATGTGTATATTTTAAGAAATAGTTGTATTTTTACTGTACGTAATGAGTATTTTGAACAATGCACATGTCTCCCCCCCCCGAGGCTGGGCTTCCTACACTCCCTCCCTCTGTGTGAGCAGAGTAAGCATGCAGGTCAGGACATGACTATGATTCAACCAATCACTGCAGGAAGTACCTGGCCAGAGTGCGGCTGCAGAGAGTGTAGAGCGGACATGTGGTCCTGCTGAGATTATTGCGATTGCTGCCTCTTTTCGGGGATTACTCAAGAAAATCGAGTTCAAATTCAATAGCTGTAAAACATCAGAACGTGCAGGGTGTTTGCAGTTTGAAAAAGGGAAGCCAAAGGTACATCTTAATAATCATTTTAATAAGTAACATGTCAGGACACATCAAACAGGTTCAAGCAACAGGTTGGACACGCTTCGCCCTCTTCACTGATGAGGCAGAAAAGCTAATTTACCAGATAAACTCTATCATTAGACTACTGTGGAAGTAAGAACTCACTTTTCTTGTTGTACAAAGCTGCACTGATCTCATTCTCACCCTTTCAGTTTTTGTGATGTGTGTTTTAAGGATGAGAATGATACACTTTTATTATACAATTATAGATATGTTCATATTTGTCTCTAAGTGGAAACACTGCCTTTGCCTCAGTGTGTCATGAGATGTTCTGCTTTGGCTCACGTTCTCTACATCATCACATGACATATGAGATGTTAACATCCACTTTGAGCTGTTCTGGAAGGGAAGGGCCAATAACACATCTGGATAGATATTTCTACTCTTCAGATCCTGCTTTTTGGGCAGAGATCAACAATTGAAACGTTTTTTTTTCAGCAGGCGATAACACCAAGCACTTTTCAGAACTTTCCCGGTTGAAGATGGTCTAATTTAGATATGTTATTATAAGTTAACTCTCATTCAGAATAGTGACTTCTCTGTGAAATCTTGGGCCACTATTATGGAGTGATAACTAAAGATGTGTCTTGTTTCTCTTATGATTGACAGCTTTAGCCAGCCATACTAAAGGAGTGTGTGCTCCACTGTACTCCAGTTGTAAGGAAACACCAAGAGACTGAACATGTTGATCTATTAAGGAAGCAAGTGACCACAGCCCACACCTGCTTTTTGACTTTTGAAAGAAATCCACATTTGAGTACACACTCTGTGGGTATAGGCTTCACCAAAGGCTTAAAGTGTAATGGTTACATGAAGAAGGTTACAAATAGAATAGATGACTATAGAAGTGTGGCCAGTTCCCTCCCAAACAGCTAATGTGAAGTTAGCATTACGCTTACATAGGAACTGTTACACCCCAGCACCTGAGCAGAGGTCACACAATACTCACTGTGCTTTAGCCCCCGCTACCAGCAGCACCTGGATACACTCCACACTACCTGAGCGAGCCGCCTTGTGGATGGGAGCCTCACCTACGAGATCCTGAAGACACAGGGAAGGTGCGCTCATAAGAGGTAACATAACAACCACATTATGGGAATAACTGTAGCAGGCACAACAGTACACTATAGACATGCTGGAAAGGCAAGGCACGTTTATTTATATAGCACCTTTCAACACAAGGCAATTCAAAGTGCTTTACACAAAGGAAAGACATTAAGAAACATATTATAAAATGGCATTTAAAAACACTCATTTAAAAGCAAAGATAATAAAACATGAATAACAAAGGTACACAAAACCCGAAAATGCTGTTGCTATTTATGGTGGTATTATATATCTGGTCTTATTTTCATATACTGTTGGTGCTGACTGACCTGCATGTTGACGTCAGCTCCGGCCTGAGTCAGCCACAGCACACAGTGGGGGTGTCCTCCGAACGCTGCAGTGTGTGTGGGGGTCTGCTGGAAGCGGCTGGTCACTGTGTTCACCTCACAACCCCGCTGCACCAGGTGCATCACACACTCAAGCTGAAACACAACACACAGGGCCATAATGAGACTATTGAAATGAGTATGGTGAACATAAACAAAACCCATCACACATCATGGGGGTAACTGTGAAAGAACAATGGAAGGTACCTGACTGTGTGCAGGTAACACACAACCAACTGTACTGGCCATGTTCCTCTGCACTCTTCACACCTCAGACACATAGGCTGTTTATTTAAAACTCAGACATCTGAGAAAGAAGAACTACAATAATGTAATACATGGTATGCAACTTTGAGTACAAAGAAAGCACTATATATTACATGTATTATTATTATTATTTTGACACATGGATGTGTAAGAGAATGACATCAGGAAATATAACTTTTTCTGTTTACCTAGGGCTGTTTTGGCGCCTGATTACCCATTGGCTCGACTGGAACCAATGAAAATGCTTTTACGTTATTTTTTTTATTTTTTTCCGCCCACGAACTTTATTGTACACGTACAGTGAAACAACTGTATCAGAGGCGGTCTAGAAAAAAAGAAAAAAAAGGCGGCTGCTTCTGGTGCGCCATAGACTTTATACAAATAAAGTATATTTTATACATACAATATCCACCTTTAAAAACGGTTCATGCTAAACCACCCACCGCCCTGTTATGGTTAAAATATTACGAGAAGAAACCGCTATTCAGGTTGACTGCAGTTAATTAAAGTATCTTAAGTACTTTTTAGTATAACTATGAAGTACATGTAGAATACATGTTGTTCACGGAATAGTTTAACTGTAAATGAGAACTACTCATCAATGTGTACATCTTAATGTAGTCATTTAGAGGTAATCCCTACCTGGCCATAGTGAGCAGCCCAGTGTAAGGGGCTCCATCCGTAACACGGGTCCTCAGCCGTCAGTGGAGCCGGGTCTGAGAGCTGCTGGAACAGGGAAACCAAAGCTCCAACGTCTCCATCCCGACAAGCACGGTGGACGGGAAACCGGCTGATAAAGCCTTCTTCATTGGAGAAGTCGGCTTCTAGTCCCCCAGACATTGGTGAAGTATAAAAGTGTCTTGTTCCCCGTCCCTCAGAGCACTGAGCAGACTAAAGAGGTTGAAACACAAAGAAAGAGGAGATAACGTTAAGCTGCTCTTCGGGGCGGGGGAGCCACAAAACCCGGACTGGAGTCTGACAGTGTGGCGGAGAACACGGAGGCATCTGACCACTCTGAAAAGTGAACAGCAGAAGTAAAAGAAGACAACACCAACCACAAGATGGCGTCATCATTGGGCGGAAAATCTCTGAATCATGGCGCAAAGAAAAATTCGAGGAAACAGGTATATCACTTAATTATAGAAACTTTGTTCAATCTAGGGTTGGCCTTTCCATTCCACACTGCTGCCACAAATCAATGCAATTCAATATTTTCTCCACTACAACACACACCCCAGGGCAGGCTATGGTCCATCTTTCTGAATCAATGAGTGACTTTGAACCATTGAGAGGCACTTGATGAAAGCTGTTAAACTGAGTAACCAATTAACCAGTGGGGTAACGTAACGTACATTTACTCAAGTAGCCTACTGTACCTAAGTGGAAACATTGAGGTAGCCTACTTGTACTTTACTTGAGTATTTTCAGTGTTGAGTGATATGCTTTTACTCCAACACGTTTTGTTGGCAAATGTTATACTACATTCATATTAACATTACAGAAGATTTAGGTTAATAAACAATATAAATCAACACACATACATTTTCACATGTTATTATAGGTTAAGCTACAGTAGTGTATTAAGTAATAATCCTAATTTTAACAAGAGCATCACTTTAACACATTGCACAATTAATTGTAAGAAAATAATTACAAATATATATATTTGGTGCTTAAATATACCTTTCTGCATAAGGACTACTTTTACTTTTGGTACTTAAATTATATTTTGATGCTTATACTTTTGTACCCTTACAATTGTACCATACCATTTTGAATGCAACACTTTTACTTGTAACTATTTCATTACTGTAGTATTGCTACTTTTACTTAAGTAAATAACCTGAGTACTTCTTCCACCTCTGCAATTAACCAATTAAACTGGTCATTTTTGGGTCTGCATTTTATCTTGTAGTTATTGCTTTACTCAAAAACGTTTCTTATATCTTATCATTATTTGTAAAAATGACTGCTGAATGATTACATATATGAATGAGAAGGAAGTAAAACTGCTAACTGTAGTCCAGAGCGTTCTTTAATTATCTCCTGTTATGAATGACTCGCTATTACTAACTTATACAGATGATATGATGCTACCTCTGTGTTTTGTGCAGATTAGTTTTATATGGGTCATACTATCTGAAACTCTTTTTTGAAGCTTGCATTGAGCTTTATCTTTTCGTTTCAGGATGGTTTTGTCAGAGTGAGGAAAAGTGATTTAGAGAAGTTAACCACAGAAGTGATGCAGCTGAGGGAGTTCCTGCCCAGAGTTCTGAACAGGGACCTGATTGAGATGCTGCATAAAGCTCGAACAGCTCAAACAAGTACGTAACAAACACAACGCATGGTTTGAAAATTGTGTAAAACATTTATGAGAATATAATAACACAAGTCTTGTTTAAGAAATACACTTTTACTACAGAGCTGAGGAGGGTGAGGAACTAAATAAATTAAATAAGTCAAATGAACAGTAAGATATCTACTGATCATAGATTGCATTCGGCATAAAACACCATTTGCATGTGGGGGAAAATGTTTTTAGTTTTTTGCAGGTACTAAGTGAACTCAGTGTGGACACCTCCGCTTGGTTTGTAAATTACTCTTAGACCAAAAACTCCAAGGATAGCCATTACACAACATTAAAAACAATATTTCATAAAGTAGCTGTACCTCTCTTTAACATTTAGCAGAGGTTTAGGGTAATTAAGTACATTTACTCATACTGTACAATTTTGAGGTACTTATACTTCACTTTCAGCTGTAAATTGGTACTTTTACTCCACTACATTTATTTAATACCGTTAGTTACTTTTTGTTTAGTTTCTTAATTGTAAAAAAAAAAAGGTTGTTCTAAGGCATCTAAAAAATGTACACATTTGGTCTCAAAAGTAGAATTGGTGTGATTTGCACCTGTCATGTGAATGGTGAACAGCACTAACAATGAACTATTTAAAGCAATCGGCAACATGAAATGTAATACTGGTGACATTTGTAGAATGATTATTAGCAACTGTTACCAGAAGTTCCTGTTCTGTAAGAACTGTTTTGAATAAATTGACTTGAAGTCAGTCTGTGTATCTTTCCATCCACAGTGAGTCATTTTGGAATTTAGTATGTTTTAGGAATGCTGCAGCCGGTCATCAGGGAACTTCTTCATTTCCTTTTTGTACAGAAATGTATTTATATATTTGGATACATATTCTTACTCCTCATTAAAAATGTAAGTATATCACTCCCTGCTGATTCCAGACTATCCTCCTTCAAAAACATTTTTGAAAGAAAACTTAATATTTGTTTTCAAAGTGTGGTTTTATTTCTGTACCCACCTAGCACTACTGTCAAATGGACAATATATTTAGGTTATGTAATGAGAGTATTATTTTCAGCACTAGTACTATAGCACTAGTAGCATGTTGTCATGTTTGTGCTTTGTGTGTGTGTGTGTGTGTGTGTGTGTGTGTGTAGTGAAGGAGCACTTTGTGCAGGAGCAGGACCAGCTGCGGCAGGACTGTGTGCACCTTCAGGCCCGGTTGGAGGCAGGGCAGACTGAATGTCAGAAAGAGAGAGAGGTGGGGGGGGGGGGGCAGGCACTGTGATGTTGTTTACTGTGTCCCACGGATTCAATACTTTACACAATGAGTGGACTTTAAAGGGTTGGTGTGTGTGTGTGTGTGTGTGTGTGTGTGTGTGTGTGTGTGTGTGTGTGTGTGTGTGTGTGTGTGTGTGTGTGTGTGTGTGTGTGTGTGTGTGTGTGTGTGTGTGTGTGTGTGTGTGTGTGTGTGTGTGTGTGTGTGTGTGTGTGTGTGTGTGTGTGTGTGTGTGTGTGTGTGCAGGAGAAGCTGTTGTTGAGGGAGCAGCTGTGGCAGGGTGGAGCGGAGCTGCAGCAGCAGGCAGACTTCTGCTCTGCTCTGGGATCAGCAGCCTGCAGTCTGCTGTGGAGCTGCTCCTCCAGAGAGGACACGGTCACACGCTGGCTGGCTGATGTGAGTCCTCTGCACCGTGTGTGTGTGTGTGTGTGTGTTGTACTCATCCCAATGACAAACACTCTTAGGGTTCCAAATTAAACAGTGTCATCAGTTGACAGCCCCTAATGTGTTGTGTGTGTGTCTGTGTGTGTAGGGGAAGCTGCAGTCCTTCCTGGCTGTAGCTGCTCAGACTCTGGAGAGCTTCGTCAGGTCTCTTGATGAGGAGGAGAAAACTCAGACTGAGGACCACAACTCCCATGAGCACCAGTTTGTGCTGGCTCTGGCTGGAACTATTACTAGTGAGTTCACAGATTCTTTAATGCAATGTGAGCATACTCACACTGAGGACAGACACAAGGCCGGGCTCAAGTTTTCTGAGCATTAAACTTTGAAGAATACATTTTGCTGATGTGGTTGCATAGTTACGGAGAGCTGGTAATTGCCTAAATGACCAATTTCCATTCATGTTCCACAGCTAGTTGTCCCTCCAAGATTAATAACGGTTTTTTTAAATATATAAAGGAACTAAATTGGAATTCTAGAGTTGACCCAGTAAGGCAAGCACAGTCTTTTAATTATTAGATTTTTAATTGAATCATTCATTCAGGTATACACACTTTACAGCACATTAATGATAATCAAAGAACAAAAACTCTGCAAAATGCCATAAATGATAATAAAATACGCATTTTCAAATAAGCTTGGTTGACTTTGGACATGGGATTTATGTCAATTTACAGTGTGTCGTTTTTTAAAATGTATTATTATTTCAATGAAAATGAGAATATACAATTAGAAGGCGTTACAATTTCAACTTGTTTTGCCCCTGAAAATGTCTGTGCATGATGAGATGACACACCGTTAAAGTTTTATATCTAGAATCACTTTAAATAGTTTTTATAGTGTATTCTATATTTGATAGCACTGAAGCTTCTTCTCCTTCTGTCTGAAGGTCATATCTGAACCTTTTAATTTCTTAGCCTTGTTTCCATATTTCATTAAATGTGTGGATGACTTAAAGACATTCATGTCAGTTGTGAAATTCCTCCTGCAGGACCTGAATGCAACATGAAGCAAACTGTTTTATTGTCTCACAGCCACTCCAGACTATGCACCCCCCCCAATGACTTGTCTTATCTTATCAGACATCGCAGCAGTGACGTGTGGGCGGGACTTCCTTTCCACCTCGGCTCAGGACCTGCTGGACACTCTGATGAAGATGCTGGAGCTGATGAAGCCCAGGGTCTTCCCCAAACTCAAAGTGTACGTGGAGCTGTGGTGGAAAGCTTCACACACATCCACCTGTAGCTTCACTGTTCTTCTCCATATATCATGTATATCCATACACTTATAAAACCAACTGTTAAACAGTCCACTCCATTTCCAAACGTCTTTAATACGACTTCTGCATTAATGTGGACATGGACTGAAATGGAGAAATGTAGGATTCATACATTAAAGGGGACCTATCATGCAAAATGCACTTTTTGAAGTCTTTTATACATAAACATGTGTCCCCGGTGTGACGGGGAACTCACGCAGCGTCAGAAAATAAAACCCTTTCTCTTTTCCTCCGTACCCAAATCTTTTAAAAACGGGGGTACAACGAGCGGATACAGATTTGCTGCCAATATGACGTCAAATCGGCGGCGGACCCACAGAGAGTTGCTATCAGAAACAATGCCTGACGTGTTTTGGACGTAATCTCGTCTTTGTTTAAGCCTCGCTAACACTCAGAGCTAAGCTGTACTGAAGAGCACATGTGTTTAAAAAGCAGGAAATAAAAAAAGGAACTCACCTTGTGATAAACCCATCCATCTTCTTCCGCTTATCCGTGGTCGGGTCGCGGGGGTAGCAGTTCCAGCAGAGAGCCCCAAACTTTCTTTTCCCTGGCGACATCAACCAGCTCTTGTGATAAACCCGCAAGAGAAAAATAATTTGAGCTCCATACTGTTTCAGAAATAATCCTTGATGTGGTTTAGAACAGGATGGCGTTTTATCACAACCAAA